TTGGCAGCCCATTGTCGTAATCGTTCTGCTTTGCCATCTACAGCGCTCGGATACAAGGACCGCTAAGTTAAGTGTCAGACGTGTCAGAGGACTTTCCATTCCAAGCGAAGCCTTACTCAACATCCTCACCTAACTCATTCTGTCCAACACCACGCAGATTGTTTAGCTTAACTTTTGGTATGTGTTATACTACGCCGCATTACTGACTAGTGCATAGATATTGGTAAATTATGCTCCATCTCCTCAGAATCTTCCGTATGGGCTCAGTCATTCTTCGCCAATCGGGTGGATCGATTAGTTAGAGAAACGGTCTAAAACATTTGGCATGGCAATACTCCACTAGAAAACAGTTTGCTTTGCGGTCGCAGCTGAGCGATATATTGCGACAACCGTCATCTCCTACTGTCCCCAACTTTACTTCCATCAACCAGGTGTGGGATAAGCAGGTTGGTCCATCATCGACACTGTCACAATCTACGCTCTCCAGGTTTGCACATAGGGGTCAGAGAGATGACCCTACACTTCCCCTTGCTGATTCCCAGGAATAGTCTGAGAGTCAGATTCGTTGTCTGCTTGTCAGACTTCTTCTCATCCTTCAAGTTTGAATCCTGGCAACGCTGCTGACGGTATTTCTAGAGAGAGTATATTGCAAACCAGTGATGCTACTCTACAGCTATAACGCGGGGTTCACAATTGTCCTGAGTTTACTTACGGATGCGCAAAAGTTACTAGGTTTATCTGCAAATCCGTTTGGAGCTCGTGCCTTGTCTCCGCTAGGTATATTAAACCGGTTTCCGGGAGGTAAGAACAATGGTAGGCAACCTACTTTATTCGGCTCTATTCCCTTGTACTGCATACTTGGAAGTCTTCAAAATATAGTTCTGCTCTTAAGACGACACAGAATAATCGTCAACGTCGCCAACTGCCGTTTGGACATATTCAGCGTTTAAACCACTTTTGTCGACGTGATGCTACCGCCAAAGTTTTGGATGGAAGACGGCAAACTGTCTACGTGCTGTAAAACGAGGAGATTCCGTGGGTTACTACTTTCCGGTCGGATGTTCTTTTTAAACCTCCTGTATCAGATACCCATGATCCTCGTCCACTGCGAGATCCTAGTCTCGAGTTGGTTCGACCGGTGTCCAAGGATGAAACGCGTTCCGTTCCCTGGATTATGGAAGGAACTACATCCGGTGGCGATCACATTACTACAAAAGATGTAGCCCGGAGGAACCCCGTAGTTATCACTTTTCTTTTGAATTGTCTCCTTGCATCTTCATTCTACCCGCTTCACATGTATTCTGCCTGGATTATCTTCGTACTCTACGTTTTCAAACTCTCATATCTCGAACAATTTCGACCCATTTCGTTGATCCGTCTTCAAACCACCGATTTCAACGCACTTTCCGATGACCGAGCTCCTTATCATCCTGTGCATTGGCTTCAGTTTGGATTTCTTCGTGCGGATGGTTGTTTCGAAGCCCAGGCTATTCTTTCTGCCACACTTCGTCCTTATGTGAATTTTATACCATCGTCATCCGACTCAATTGATATTCCAAAGTTTTAGCCTCCGGTTCAAAAGAGTCGTTACTTCAAGCAGCCTCTTCTTCTGGTGCTTTATCGTTCATACTGGGTTATATTGCTTCCATTTATGCCTCCGCTGTCTGCACTCGCCACGAGGTCAGCGTTCATCCACGGATGGGAATGCAGCAAGAAAACTTGCCTTCCCATTGCTCTTCGTTATGACTTTGGACGATGCCCTTCATAACCCTGCATAATCTTAGTAATTTCGGCACGCTGACCCTATAGACTACGTAACAAGACAAGCAGTCTTTGTGGATCTTCTCAGCACGCTTCGTAAAGACTCTTCCCATTGGCCCATCAATTACCGAACGGAAGTTGACTAATCTCAAGATCGTCTTAGACCGCACATAAAATCTGCTGTCTTGGACACATCTCCATTCCCGTGTTCATAGGTCACCATATCATGGCTTCAACAGGAAGAATCGTTCAGTTATCTCGGCCTTACGTTCAACGAGAAAGGCAAATTATTAACTTCATCCTTAGAACAAATGCGTTCTCACCTTCAAGCGACCACCCGACCTCCGCTGAGGCAATATCAGAGATTAGAAATACTCCGCAGTTTCTTACTACCCAACTACATTCACAGACTCTCTCTGGCGGTAATACATCGCTATATCTCAAAAAATCTGGATAAAATATTTCGCTCCTAGGTACGCAGATGACTGTGGCTGCCCAAGTATACACCGATTGCCTATTTTCACTCTGCTATCGAAGGATTCGGCTTCGGGATAGCATCCCTGTCCCCCATTATTCTTTTTCTTAGGAAATCTCGTCTGCGGCACCATTTGTCTAACTCTCACGATGTAACAAGTTGGGTGATCCGTGATCCCTACGCGGTCTTTATGCATCGCATTGCCCCAATATCTGTCTTTGGGTGCAGACAGCCCGTACTGGATAGGACTTCGGCGCAAGAGGCTTGAAGAACGGCGGTTTCATCCTCAGTCGATGGCTCCTCCTCCGGGACGCTACAACTGAACCATCAGCTCGGTACTACTTCAGACAACCGGCTAAGATCTCGCTACGATTTGTTCATACCAAAAATTCAATTGCAGGCTACGGTCTTCTCAAAGGAGAGCATGGGATCAGAAGGAAATGCTCCCACACATCCTTCAATCATGCGCAGTCACACAACAGGTTCGTAAGAAAAGGCATAACGACATCGTGAAACAGCTTGGGACTGCAATCTGCCATCGGGATATTCACATTACAGCAGATCTTCAAATACTTACTTTGATCTCCTTTATCAAACCGGATCCGCTTGCTGTTAAGGAGACTACCACTTATGCTACGAACGTTGCCACCTTTGACTCAGACCGAATGGAAAGAACCTGCGAACTGAAATTGGACAAAAATGGCGTCCAACTTCATGCAGATACGATTTCCAGTTGTGTCCGATGAAAGTTTTCGCAAGTGTTGTGTGGTATCGAAAAGCCGTGATTTTGCACAACCGCCGAGCTTTTGTCATGCTACAGTGAGACATTTTAAGTCTCTTGGTCGTTCACAGTTCGACATTTCGGATCAGTGTGTCTACACTATTCGCGGGACACAGCGCGTATGATACATTTATGCACTGAGCCTTCCCTCAACAGCTTGCATCCAACGCACAAATGCAATGAACAATTGGGTGTGCGGTTCAACCAGGTTTATAGATTTCTACAGGGGCACTGTCCTGCCTTAGTAATTCGCTGTAAGCTCCGACCTTGTGCTATGAATACAGATTGTCAAAAATAAATATTATTAATTAACGCACTACAAAAGTTATAGGAGCCTTCTTGAACTTGCGACATCAAGAGGAGTTTTCAGCGTTTCGAACTGCAGTGTGTAGAAGGCCACAATGAGGAGCGTCCTATTCTAGGGTAGTGAGACTTGGCCCCTTCGGTCTGAGGATCTTAGGCGCCTCCAAGCCTTTGATCGTTGCCAGGTACTGAGTAATGCTGGTGCTGGGTGCCACCATGGCGTCCGCTGGTTGATGTTGGTCCGTCTCGGTTTTCAGGTTGGAGTCCACGGAACTCATCCAATGCTTACCTTGAGAGGTTACAGAACATAGCTAGCAATCGGCAGCAGTCGCGCGTTTGCTGTCGACTCTTAGCCGGACTGCCTCTTTAAATCGTATCTGGTGCTATCTGCGGCGTAATGGGTGATTAGCACGCAGGGAAAGAAAGCCGCAAAGATATGCTTTCGCTGATGTTACCTTATTCTTGCACGACAGGCAGAGGTTTGTAACTGTGTGTTATTGACAATGTATAGGTGCTTTGACTTTGAATGTTTCCTTATGGCGGTAAAGTTTTACCCAAGGTATTCTGCCTTCAGTTATTGTGGTTTTAAAGCAGCGAAGTAACAGTGCAAATGATTGCCGTACTGTTGTTGCCGATGACTTGCTGGGCTAAAGATGATAATTGCTCTAGCTGCCTCCACTCTTGCAAGGTTATACAAGACAGAAAGAGGAAGTTAGAGACGTTTGTCCAACTAGAGGTGGCATTGAATTAATGAAGAAGTATGGTTCAGTTGCAGCGTGTTCGATTTGGTAACAGACCTGAGCCGAGTTAAGCAGAAAAGGAGACAAGACTGTGTTACAGTTTTATGACAGGTTCACAATTATTGCTTCCTTCTCAAGTTAACAGCCAATAGGATTTGAGTGATTGACCTTGTGAACCGCACCCACGTGAACGTAAGACAGTAATGTAAGTTTGTTTGTACCACTAAGAGTGGTAAGGATCGTAGGGACTCTGTGTACACAAGTATGAAATGCATGCCTAAAGTACACCCCTTCTGAGGTGGCAACCCACAGCATGCCTTGTGACTCAGCAATGATTGGATATGAAGAAAAGTTTCGCGTGTTGTAAAAAGCTAGCGCTCTCCAAGGGCACCTGATAGCCTCTCAGGGTGTCCAAAGATACTCTACTACTGAACGTGTTTGCTATATTATTCCTCTCAGATAAACGAACAACAACCGGGGCCCACCATAAAACACCAAATCCTGTGAACTAAATTGCACTTTTGAATCGAACATCCATTCGGTGAACACTACAGCCCAGGCTAGTCAAGAGTCACAATAAAGTACCCAATTGAAGTGTCGTAGAAGCGAATGTACGTAGTAGTGTATGTGGAATCGCATTTCCAGTACGAAGAATTGCTCCAGCACCGAATAACGTTAAATGACTGAGATGCTGCCGTTGAATTACGTTTGTCGCTCAAACAGATAGGGCCCCTCCTCCGTCCGCATGGGGTTCCTCCCCATAGCCCGGTGACTTCAATACACCCAAAACTCACCTTCTTCCATTATCAGCCTGGTACTTGTATGTACGTGGTTGTACGGGGATCAAATTGCATCGTACGTCAGTCCACCTGGAACAGCGTTGACATCGGGAAAACAGTGTAAAAGGCAACCCCACTATGTGCAAAGAGAAATGACTCACTTCTATAATATGCTGTGGTGCCACGTTCGTACTTTTGCGCATTTGGGACTCGTATCCTTGGCAAACCAAAATCCGTCAGCTTCACTGCAAAACGAGCGTCCAGAAGACAGTTGGAACTTTTCAGGTTCCCATGGGGAACTAAGATCTGGTGCAGGTAGGTCATGCCCTAACGTGTAGATTGCAAGGGGAACCGAAATAATAGCGATAGAAACAACCAAGTTTAATAATAAATAATGTCCCACAAAGAAGCCGGACACCCTGTGATTAAAAATGGGCTTTGGATCGCCGCCAACCAGTGGTTTTGATTGGTGGATAGCGTAGGACAAACACAGAACGAATGCCGTGAAATATGATCGATACACTCCTCTTCCCATTGCTGACATAGGGAAAACAAACCCAAAGAGGAGTTCTGTCCCTAAGGCCGGTGAGCAAATCAGATGAACAACTGGCAGTAAACGAGATCTAGTGACGACGCAGCTACTGGTCATGGTCAACTATTAGGGAGAGAATGAGACTGAATGGTGTGCTGCTGCCGATAGCAACCAGACGCTAAACGTTCAGCGCATTTGTTGCTGGTGCAATGACAGGAATGAAAGACAGTCGCGAATCAATGGGGTGAGATGATCTCATAATGGGAAAGGAGAACATGTACTAGAAAACTCCGATACAAATGCACTAAGAAAATAAGGTGGTGATTATCAATCTCAGAATAACCAATTATGGCGACCGTCACGGTTGTTTTATTATCCACATTGTTATGTGTATGTTAACAAACATCCTCATCACCACGATTGTGCAAAGTAAATGAATAGTGAATAACAGTCAAATGGGAGAGAGTGACCATGGATAATCCTGTCTGATCCTGTCTGATCCCGATGCAAGAAGGGTGAAACGGATGAATTCCAAGTTTCCATAAAATTCAACTAGTAAAAACGTAGTCGTATTACAAGATGAGATGCATCACCCCTAGCAAGCGTAGTTCCAATAGAGTGCGTTATGCGTTCGCCTAACTGCTCGACCACAACTAGGCACCAAGAGTGCTGAGTTGCCACACCAGCTGAAAGGGGTAAGAGACTAGCAACAGAGGCCAGCAACCCCACCTGTGTGTCAACTGGAGATCACACAGGTGGAGGTTAGCAGAGGACCGGTAGCATCCAGCAGCCGAGGATTACTACATGTGTGGTCAACATACGCTGGTTGCATATTGAAAGTTGGTGAACCATGCTTGGCTACTAATGGTGCCTCATCTATCACTGCTCCGACTCATCCGGGCACAGATCCAAGACGGCACGTAGCTGATAAAACATGACTGAGGCAGATGGACAGCTGCGTCGAATATTCGCTGTGCAGAGCATTTTGAAGCACAGTTAGGTAGACCATATGCTGAACCACCTGAACCCACGTGTGAGGTTCACGCCACATTTTCCACTATGGAAGAGATACGACGCGAAGTCGACATGTTCAAATGAAACGAAGCGCCTTAACTAGTCAAAATTCTTCTGCCTTTAACAGAAGACAAAGGTGACTCATTGGTGACTAGTTCATCAGTCCAAATCAACACGAATTGGGACAGTGAGGAGATGGCTTCAAACGGGTACAAGCTCCGCTCCGCCCTAGCGTGAACCTATACGACCGCCCAGTTGCGACGCATGCATATCAAGCGAGGCCTTGTTCGTTATCACTATCAGAGCATCTCGACGAGTAGTTCGGCCTCACACGTTGTTTATTAGTGCACCAGTAGTTGTAGTGACATTTACCTAGGCAGAACCGACCGTCAGTTAGCTCAGATGGTAGCTGCACATTCGCCAAAATGGTCGGGACAAGTGAGGACGCAACACAACGGAGCGGATCTGAGGAGTACTCGGAGCCCGGCATCGTTTACCACCAAACCCCACATGACAACTCGTCATCACGTGAACCTGAAGACCGCGTTCAAAGTGTTATTGCGCAACAAAAACCCAATAATTTTGGCAATGAATGTGGCGTTACTGATTAAGGCGCATCAACATGTCCAACGTGTACAGAAACACCTAAGGCAATCAATTCGGTTTCCTTGGTCTTGACTGTGATATGTTGATTGGTTTACCGATTTTTCTACGTATATAATTGTTGTTTCTGCTCGTATTGTGTTTGGGTTTGAAGAGAACAATCGAAATGTTGACATCTCGCAACTAAAGACGGGCGTTTTTCAACCGTTCTCACTATCCACAGGAAGTGTTGCGGGATTTTGTGCTTAGATCACTACGTTATTACTTTTCGATCAAACAAACATCACTCTGTGGAAATTCAATGACCTTTGTGAGAGCCGACCCAGCTAGAGCCAGGCCAGCTTCCACCACGACAGAGGACGTAGCGACCACAAACTTACTCTTCTTCACGCGTTGGAGCAAAGATATCTACAGACGATTGGTCATTGTGATTTCCCACTACTCTGCTAATCATGCCAACATGTGAGTCACGATTCGAGTGTTTTCTCGAGAAGCTGTCTACTGTGTTCCCCAATGCAAGTACGATTCCTTGGAGCTAGCATATATATGACTCGCTGATCAAGTTTGCAAGAGAGAAGACCGGAAATAGCTCGTGTTACTTAGTTTCGGTGTGTCAGTGCGCAGCATGTTGTAACTAATCGAAGCATCGACATACCGTCCAGAGCATACGGCAAAGTAGTAAGAACGCGTGGTGAGTATATGTGTTCTTCACGAGAATTGACAACTTTTGGGTCCGATAGCTGCGTTTGACGCTTCTATGTCTCGAGTAAACATGTAAGAGGGAGACATCAGCAGTAAACCGGTAGGCAGTACTGACGCCGCGCTGTCACGCAATCACCACATCTCGCAGGTGAAACAAGGATACGACGGTGGTAGCATGGCTCCCTACCCAGACTCGAATTGGTGTCATCCGGGTTGTAAGGTAGATGCCTGGTCCTTTCAGCTACCGGCCGACATGTAGGATCAACCTGGACGACAACGGCGAATACCATTCGTTTTAATGGGCTAATGCAGCGAAATCCCGTAAAATGAGTGTCACCAGAGCCAGTTGGTGTATTCGCAGGATACATTGACCATTTAACTGCGCCCGGTGGGCTGAGCAGTACCACATGCGAAACTAGCGAAGTGCAACCATGAAACACAAATTGTGGGCGCACATTTAGCGTAAACGTATCCACCATCTGTATGGAGATGCCCGCGATGCACACTTTATCTTGCACAAGCCTCGATTATTCTAGCTCACCATGAACTCTCAGGGTGTAGAATATTTTAGCAATGAAAAGTACATTTGTTGTCCCCAGCATAGTAAGACTGAGCTTAGAACAGTACCGGTTGATGAAGTTACCAAGGAGAAATACGACATGCGTTCATCTGCTTTACCGGAGAAAGCTTGGCGACGCAAGAGGGGCCAAAAGGCCGGTTGGCTGGAAGTTAATATCAAAGGTGCTGTCGTTGGTCAAGTTACGCATAAGCATCATTCATTGTGTTGTATGCTGCGCATCTGATGTAGACACACCTACGGTTGCAGTTAGTTGGAATCGCGAGGTCAGCGACCAACAATTCACCCTGGGAACCATAAGTCGGTAGCTGTGCGATAGCGGCTGCACGTGTGAAATAACGCCGCTCTTACAGCAGACCACCTGCGCCGGGCCGGAGTGCTAAGGAGCAGTGTCTTGCAGATGCAGCCATTATAGTGATCACCCGAGAGACAGCATATTTGAGCTATCTAACGGGTAGTAGGTTCAAAGAAATTTCGTTTGTGTAGTGATATTCGGAATTTCGTGCAAGGTAGGACAGAAAAGTGTAAACTTAATCTCATTGTACTGCCGAAAGCATTCACATCTGCTGTTTGCAATGGTAAATTGTACACCTATTGCGTGTGCCCCCCACCCTGAAGCTTACAAAGGGGGTCTGGCGTTCGCTGCCTGAAGAACAAGGATGTATTTCAAACCGCATTAGCTTACATGTTGACCGAATCGCAGTAGGCTATTCGAGGTTGGTTCCGCTTCGATAACAAATATCGACATACTTTGGACAGGTGTATCATAATCGCACATCGTAAATTTGGTAGAACAGATTTCGTTCTCCCACTAATGCCGCAAATTTCATTCACATCGTGAATTTGGTATTTAGAAGGAGTCGTGCGATACACAATGCCTATATGCAGATGTGGTGACCTTGTGGTGTTCTCCGAATCAGCTAATATTTTGTATTTGCGTGTGCGATATCAATATCGACTTTCTGTCACACAATACGGAAACACAAACATGCGCTTTATGATAAATATGCGGTTTTTATGTGCAAGTGAACGTACGCGGCAAATGTCTTGTATTAGGGAAAGTCTGAAAAGCCAGTCCATGGTGAATTGCTCTTTTTTCAGAAAATCGGAAAGACTTCCTTTGGAACAGTATTCCATGACGAAACACTGGCGGCTCGGCTCCAGGCAAACTCCAATCAGGCGGCAAATATGATCATTGTTCATGTCTTTCACCTAAAAAGTACATATGAAAGCACAAGCAAGCAAGTGCAATTATGCCAACTGCAAATAACCTAAAGGCCATTGGGTATTAAAACGATTCATTGCAGTGATTAGAGGGTAGGTGGATGATGCAAGGTGCGGGCTTTGGATATTGTGCTATCAAAGCACGGTGGCACCGAGAACTAGGATGATGGCTTTTGCCAGCCACTCGGCCGATTGATGGTTCCCTGGAATGAGAGGAATGCCGAACACTAGCATTCGGCAACACGGAGCATGGGTTGTAGTCGTCAAAGAAGCCATGTGGACGCCATACTGTCGTACAGGCAATGGGATGCACGGCTGACCTGCGGATGCAGCACGTGTCCTCATGAATATAAATAGCTCGGACTGCGTATTCTTTGATACTGGGTCAGGTTATTCGGACGCAGTGCAGGAAGCCGCCAAAGCACAAAATCGGAACACTTAATGCTGTTTGGAAGGTCATCACGTTGTGTGATTGGATTGCGACACGCAACCTCAATTTAATGGAGTGTGATTCACATTGAAATAAACCTTAGTCACCGCGATCACTGGGACCGTATTCAAAGTAGATAGAAATTGGGTATTGCCCACCGGAAAAACACTGCACAGCCACGACGCGTTTCGATGTAATTTCATCTCATCAGGTGGAGACAGCAGGATTTGAACCCACGACCATTGGAATAGCAGCCCACACTACTACCCCTTTGGCTACCGGGTCCCAGTGATCGCAGTGAATCACAGTCCATTAAATTGAGGTTGCGTGTCGCAATCCAATCACACAACGTGTAATCCAAACGTGACCCTCTAATTAGTCAGTTACCGTTGTGACAAAATGTGTTGCCCATCGTGACCCGGTAGCCAAAGGTGAAGTAGTGTTGGCAGCTATTCCAATGGTCGTGGGTTCAGATCCTGCTGTCACCACCTGATGAGATGAAATTACATCGAAACGCGTCGTGGCTGTGCAGTGTTTTCGGGTGGGCAATACCTAATTTCTATCTACTTAATGCTGTTATCCAAAATTGATGACGCATTGGGCTTTGTGTTGAATCAAGGGGAAATCAGTTTTTACGTCTCAGAACGAGCGTTTTCCCAACTGCCCTTCGACCCAATAGGTTCAGCCGCCAAGCAGCGAAGCAGTCGGTGTGAGGCTTCGTGAGAACATTGTCCCCCACACAGTGTGGTGCCTTCAAGTGCGGTTGTTTCATGGTTACCTCCAATGGGAAAGCAGTTGGGAGAGTGTGTGCGCGTAGTTGCATGAACAAAATGGTAACGTAGCTGGATAATAACTCATCATATGAGCTAACTGTTAATCTATACAATAAACCGCTGTGGATTACTGCTACTACTTCAGTATCATGTGACATACGGAAAGCAGCCACAAGGTGAGGAATACGTGCTGAATTCGGCCGATTAGTAGTCTTAAAGGAATAATGGCATTCGCTTCATAATTAATCGGGTGGATAAGCGTTACCGAAAACAACGAGTAGAGCGAATCCGAGGACAGCTGTGATGCAGCGTAGACCCAACCTCATTGGTAAAGTGTCGTAAAGCGGTATTTTTCCCATCCCCAGTATAGGACGCACTTGTGATTGGACGCTTTACACGCTGGTGCCAAGTTAGGTTGGTCTAAGTTGGTTCGATGGGGATGAAGAGTCGCTACTTATCTGCTCTACACACGCAATTCGGCAGTACAGCAGTGTTGTTTCTGAAAAGTAAATTTTCATAGACGGCTCTTGCAAGTGGTGACTACCGGTGAACCGTGGGCAGAAGTGCATACAAACTAGCAGGTTAGTGATCCTGTCGCAGGGGCGGTCACCCAAAACCGTCCACGCACTCATTAACGTGATAGACAGAAACGCTAGGTGAGCTACAAACGCCTGTAGGCGCCTTGAGTAGAAACCTCAGGTCTTCCAACGGCCAACCGCTGTGCTACTAGGTGATTGAAAGCTCGCATTATGCCCAAGGTTCAGTGCGATAGTATGAATTAGAACAACGCCGGGAGGGGTGAAATTTCCAGTCGCAATGGGCTGGCTTGACTTTATCACAGACACCACAACAGGTGATCGGTTAAGGAAGTTGCACTAGATGCGCCCTATTGTCAAGCGCACGATACTACCCTGTCGCGATCCCAACAGAACACCGATAGACGCCTTGTCTTCGGTGCGCGCTAATCGTTGAAGCAATGGAAGACGCCTGAGTCAGAATGACTACTTCTTGAGGCTTAATACTAACAAACCTAGGCATCTGCTTACTCAGGAACATTGCATGCAGTTTCACATTTCCTCTGTTCAGCCTTTGGGAGCTCGATTCGGTTGCTGTCTTCTGATTCAGGCGTTGCTGTTTTTGTTGGTAAACTCACCTTTATTGTAGCCACGTAATCATTCTACGGTCTGCGTCCCCGCAGCTTTCTAATCTGCATCTAGCCGTTCTGCTGCTCCGGCCTCATTATATTGCTTATCACAATATTATGGTGGGCACTGTAGGTAGAGATGGTTAGTGCAACAGGTTAACAGTTTGAGACGGCCGCATCCGTTTGAAAATCTATGAGCCTATGCTTGAAGAGGGGTGGAGCAGAGTTCTCAAATGGGAGGGAATATACTTAAAAGACTGGTAGGAATGGGAAGAGAAGAGGTTAGGTTTTAGTCGCACATTCACCTCCAAATGAAACTCACAAAGTGTAGCAGATGGAGATTGGTGTCCGAGAGCTAAACCATATTGTGCGCCGGGTTTGGTAAGGTAAATTCGACTGTGCCAAATGACACTGACATAACTCGATAGCGAAAGTTGTGGCTGGGGGAGAATCGAACGATGTGTAGCGATGCCTATTCAGGTCTCGACCGACTAGCAGAGCGGAGTACGATAAAGATCGAGGGTAACCTGCTACACGGCTGTAGTTACGTAAAACAAGAGAAAATCCGATTCACGAACCTTGTTCACTTCCATTGCTATATCCTTGCTCGCTTCGATGCGGCTGTGCCTTCGTGTTGGCCTCAGGTAAACTGTGCTGCCCTTGTACAGAGCAACAGTACCCTGCATCCCTTTGTCATGACCATGAGGTGCTTCGATACTGTGTCTGGATGTCGTTGAGTCCTAGAGCAATAAAAAAGCACTCAAAATTACGATGAGATTTTATGTTGTTTTGCTGAGATAGCTGTATCATGGTGGTTTGGGGGCCAAGTACGATAAATAACTGCTAGTGAGAGAGCCGTTTGTAAACAGACACAGCAGTCACCGTTGGAGACTGTGCAGTCAACGAGTCACCCATACCACAGTCTAGGAGAATAAATGTGGCTAACAGAAATGGCTGCATAATCCGACAAAATTAGCCTATTCCCTGGTCTTAAAGGTTGCAGCAAAATGCCGGTTCACCTAGTCCATGAGGAAAAGCAAACACAAAGCCATGATTTACGCTCGAGTGAGTGATGAACTCGAACAAATAGAACCAGTTCCAGAAGGGATATTCCCATGCTTTTTCAGCGCATCCTATGTGAGGTACGACAGTTAACAATAAATAAGTGAGAATTAAGGTAGCGACACATGAATGCAATGAAAGTGTATGCACCAAATCAACATGGGCCGAGAACCGAGGAAAGAGGCATTCCAGATTTAGAAGAAAAAAACGTTATAAGAGAGTACTTCCCGATCATAAAGCATGGAGAAGGGGGAAGCCATCGCGTGGAGTAGTTAAATCAGCAAACCGAGACGCTTTCAACATCAACGCAAAGCAAAAGTAAGTTATGAAAAGTGATATTATTCTCGGCGTTCAGCAATTAACACCCGAGATCAATACGGGGCCACTGTTGAGAGCATCCTGTCACCAATCCCGCGAACAAAATTGCTCCAACTCCAGTGTCTGCACTCCTGTTGATGAAAACGGTGAGGAATGGGATGGGGGCACGTATAGAGAAGAAGCCGGTTCAGGTGCACTGTCAGCTGTAGTCAATACGATAAACCAAAAATACAAGAAGGCAACAGTGCTCAGTAATAAGTACACAAAGAAGGTCATAATAAACTGCCATAATGCACCTGCAACCTGGCTGTACGTGTGCTAATCTGTGCTAATGCTCGGATGTTCTAACGCACCTTTTTATGGCGTCGCGAGTTGATGTCGGTTGCAGTGCTGCCGTCAATCTGATGAAGAAGAAAAAAACAAATGGAGTACTTAAACGCAGTACGATATAAATACGATGTATTCAGTTGGTAGATTCGAGGACGTACAAGTGAGAATGTGACAGAGAAGCATCATAAAATACATTCCATACACCCCGTACAGAAGTGAGTTCTACATCCAGTTAACTTGTGCCGGTATAAATAGAAGCAAGTAAAGCAGATCGAAAAAAAAACAAAAAGTCCATTCAGGAGGAATATGAACAATGCGGTAAGAAAATGAAAGCTGACAGATGTGTGCATTTCGTATTGTCTCGTCAGTTCCACTAACAATAACTGGGATGCAACTATGTAAATAGCTTTGGGCGTGTCCGAACAAGCTTGAGGTACAAAATGAACAACGAAAGTTCCACCCCTTAGGTCCATGACAGTCTTAAGCTGACAAATAATAATTTTTGAACACATAGGGCTGGCTTCATTCGGCTTATTGCCACAGCCTCAGCGGAGCGGAGGAATAGCTGAAAAAAGATAAGAATAGGCAGGTGTGTGAGCCAAGGTTTAGGGAGGAAACGTAAAGCTAACAAGACTTTCTGGCTGTGCAATTTTCGACAAGAGTTCCAACCATTGTTATGTTCGATCCAGATAATTCTACCCACGGCGACGGCACACAAGCAAGTTCCCTGGTTATCCTTTACAGTCATAATTGCGATACCACCGACTGGTTTCAAACAGGATATCACTAATTAGGCACTGTGTTAGTAAACGGAATTCTGACGTAACCTGTCCGTAGACATAGAGAAACATTGGGTGAACAGTGTCGTAATAGCTATGAACAAGCACATACTGACATTCAAATGGATTAGCGTGCCGGATGACCGACCCCGATGCGTTAGCTCAGCTATGCTGATTAAATCCAACGACACTGATGGATTTAATAGGGAAACCACCTCGCAGCCACCAGGTATTTAGTACATAATAAAAGAACACTCGTATTTCCCACTACCACGCCAGGTTGACCATACAGTTGACGCAAGCATAGTAAAGATGAGGTTCAGATCTCCATCTGAAGCGACGATCTGAGCACCACTCCGATCCAGCGAAATTTGCACGGTGATGAGGTTGGGGACTTTGATAACTACTTCCACATGACCCCTGTCAATAGCTGGAGATCAGGAAAATAATCATTTTTCAACGGTCGTGCACCCAGACTTCGAACCAAGAGCGTTGGTTGAAAACTCGTGTTCGGGAAATTTGAAGGCACCTAACTTCATGCGCATGCATATACTTTGCCACAAAAGTAACACTCATCCTCCATTTACCGTTGTTTTATCTTAAAAGAGTATCTTTACTTTCTACTTTCGGAGGGTTGAAAAGTGAAAGCAATCACTAGCAATATCGGCCTTCCTTCGATTTCGCTCGTCCCTCTAGGTGTCCATCTCATTCCTCTGTCCCTATTGACAATTATGACAGTTTCGCCATTGGTAAACATGAGTAAAGATCCTCGTTTTCTGTGATGGCAAAACATTTTTCCGCGAGCAAATTCGAAAATTCCGCAAAATTTCTGCCGTGCTAACGTAAAATTCCATGCCTACCACGTGCAGGCTGAAATAAACAAAAGTCCATGCACATTCAGGCACTACATGTCTATGAGTTACGATTCAAATCTGAAGAAATAAAATAAACCCAAGCAAGATGCTTTGTGCTATGATCTGAAAGGTTGTGACGCTTGTCAGACCCGACATTTTTGTAGTCACTAAAGCTCAGTACAGCGTTTATGGAATTCACAGAAATGCATAAATAACATCTGGCAATGTTTGCCAGTTGTGGAGTTGTTTCATGCATCCCGCACCAGAAGGCTAGAGTGTCTTTGCATTTTTCACAAGCAGTTCTTCCACCACTTTTCGATAGATCAGCCATCCGCCTGCCAGAGCTGGGAGCCAAATAGACCTCGAGCGTCGGCATAGCTGCATGAATCACTAGCTAAGGTGACGAACCATTGGGGTCTAACACTCTGATGGTTTTCAGAAATTGTCATCTAGCCTCTGATGTCAGCAACTCATGGATTTTTCGGTAGCTTGGGAGAAGCAGAGGTACATGTCAGTTTGCATTTTGTTGTACGCATCAAACGCCAGTCCTTCTGCCTGAGAATGCTGCAGCTAGTTTTCCTCAGCGGCAGTTTCCAGCGACGAATAGATCGAAGGGGTCATCGTGAATCTTGTGGATTACCGAAAACGGTGACTCGGCAATTCCCAAGTGACGGATGATGCGCCTACCAACGGTCACAATGCAACGCAAATGACACTTCAAAGCCTTCTACGTTGTTTCGTTCGTTAGAGGATCTACAAGTTCACAAACGCTAGGTGAGTCTACAATCTCATGTTGTACAGCTTGCGGCATGCCTCCGTATTGATGGAAATAATTGCTGTGATGTGCGACATCTTCCACGCAGAAGTTCCAGTGGACGCTGACTGGTGCGTGTGAACCGGTTGGGTTATCTACGCCTTCTTGTGTTGGGTACTCAATGTAGACACACCAATTTCTTCCCGAAAAACGAAAAACACTTTTCATTTTTGCAACAACTCCGTCAACTTCCGGAGAGAATTTGCGAAGGGGCTCTCCAATCAAATTGATGCAATGGTCAGCACATCTACAGTGAACTGCATCCACACAAACAGGCTTAATAAAATCTAGGCAGCATGCTGCAATATATGTTGTGTCATCGGATACGAAAGCTATCACACGACTGAAGTCAATACCCATCAGTGTCAACCTGCGCAGAATGGCTCTTCCAATCGTGTCAGATTTGACTGTCCACAAGATGACGACCCAGTCGATGAAGTATGCTCGCAGAACATCCTTGTAGGAATTCTACGACGAGCATAGCATGAATGTGTAGTTCCATCTTCAAGCGCTCATCAGTCATTTCGTCTGTAAGGACGCTGACAAATATATCACGAATTTAACTTTCAATATCTGTCCGTTTTTCCCGTATAGCTGGTGGATTTTCAGACGTAGCGCGTTAGATCCGGCAACCCTTCCACCAGTTCGTAGGTGTCTGTAAAGAAATTCCCACAACTGGGGGTTGACGACCTTCTCTAGGAGAATATTCCCAGATAGCATAGCAAGCAAAAAACCAAGTACCACTGCGTCAAGGACATCCTGGACAGCATTTATAACGGCGAAGGATCTAATGATGCTCGCTTGCCGAGTTTTTTTTGGAGCTGGTTTCCGCTTGGCAATAAGTCTAGCCGCTTGATCCTCTTTGTATGCTTCTTACTGAAAACGCTTCTGGCTGCAAATATGGTAAACCACAGTTGATTATTAAGATGGATTCACTTCGAAAGAAGGACAAAACAGTAATTGCTTATCCGCATTATCGATGTAGTATTCTCTAGGAAGATCCTTCGCTTTGTCCAGGGCAGGCTTTCCTCCTAAATGTTGTTGTATTTTATGAGATGCCATCTGCAAAATTTAAAACCGGTTGGCTATATTGATTCTAACAAAAACGAATTCAAAGTAGCTTCTGTAAGAACTTCTTATGTTTTATGCGATTCCGCAGTTATAAATGACGCGATTTTTCTGTGTTTTTGCGGAATCCCGAGAAATTGGTGTCTTTACACGTATCTGTTGTGCCCAGCGGTCCTGCGCCTAAATGTACAAGGCCGTCGCGTGGATCTGGCCATTAACTTCGCCCTCACCCACTGCTCTATTACTGTTCATGAGTATGACTTCGCTGAGCATGTGAAGCGGTCTGTCTGACGCATCTACTTAACTTGCCCTTGGTGAGGGGACAGTAACGAGTAAGTTAGTGAACGGCGCTATAGCAACTCTAGCAACTTGTCACTTCGGTCGTTATCATTCTTTGTAGCCCAGCGGTCTGACTCATGGATGGGTTGCGCGTTCTAGTCCCACAGGGGCCAGATGGAATGCGCACTACTGACGATTTCAGAAAGGGGGAAACAGCTGTACAGTGCCTTTCTGGGCGTATGGTGGCTATCTGACTGAGTTTAGGTAGGATGAACTGCTACAATAGCTCCGACATGATGGGATCATACCCGTAATCGAGCAAAGATCCGTACCTCCAATGCCGCACATTGAGCTGTTCTACAGAACCCGAGCATTTATCGCAGTAAATTGTGTCTGACCGCAAATGTGCACATGACTACACCTGCTCCACAGGTGCGATGGCTCCGCATGCCATTGCGTATGCATCAAACGCAGGTACAGCCGTGCGCGCAGTTGAGGTCAAACAAAATTTGTCAATTAGAGGGCCGGAAATCCGAGATAACGGCTCAGATTTTAAAGGTGTGCAATGTGCGGCATTGAAGGTGCGAGTCTTTGCGAGATTACGGGGTATGGTCCCATCATATAGGACATACCGTACTTATACCAATCAACCATCTTGTTACTCTGTACTGTTGGCTGTCTTACCGGTTTAGTGTGAGGTATTCTGGTCAATACACAGCCCAGTGTGGTGAGGTTTTGGTTCTGACGGCTCGACGCACCAGCAACCGTGGTTATAACAGTATCCTGATGTCGAGCAACGCTTAGGTGCCAGCACCGCTCAATGTGTTTAATGTCACTGCCATAGATTAGGTCGGAAAGCGGGTTACACTTGCAGGTTATATTCACCTCGGTCCCAGAGTTTGATACCACTTGAACCAGATTCGGGAAGTTACTACTACCCGGTTGTGCCAGTAGCATTAAGTACTTCGTAGTACAATAGTTTTGTCTTTAAATCGTGATCGCCGAACCGAAGGAAACACATTACAGCTTACTCAACCCGCCGTTCTCACGTTATATTCCTTAAAGGCGCGAGTAGCTTGGAGATATTGTTAGACTCTGATCATCAACTACCGGATCGGCAATAAACTAACCCACGACCAGAGGCATCTGGAGAAACCAGTAAGGATGCGGAATTATGTTTGCGAAATAATGTAGGTCATTTGGAACAGAGGAGAACTATTTTGCCTATACCAAAGCGCTTATTAATGAATGGGTTCGATGAGTGAAACAGCATACAC